ATATCCAGACAACTTTATTATTTTACATTTGTTTTCTATTCTGTTATCCTTTTCCCTGTCACTATCACGTGATGCAAATATCAATACTCTTCTTCATAATTTGGAAAGAAGATTACCAAAGTTGTTAGGACTAAGTAAATAGTCTTGAAGTTTCAGGAGTTTCTCTATTCTAGCTAGAGAAAAGCCTCTTTTGCTCTCTCTCTCTCATTCACCACTGTGTTCTGCGTAAATAAGGTTATCAACGAAGCTGTTGTCCAAACAGGTGAAGGATTTGCATCTGTGTTTGCTTTGGCAGCACATGTGGGAAATACGGATCTTGACCATTTACAGTCTTTGAATAACTGATATACTTAGGAAATCAGCCTTCTTTTCATTTTTTTACTGGACTGCTGCTTCTAATAAAATCTCTTTTTGTTACAAAGAAAATTATAAACTCTATTACTAATATTTTTGTATAGACACTAATTATTTAATTAAATTTAACATAGTGATACATACTACAATACGAATGAAGCTTGAAAACATGATAATAAATGAAAGAAGCTAGTTACAAAAGACCACATATTGTATGACTCCATGTATATAACACATCCAGAACAGGGAAATCTATAGAGACAGAGAGTGTATTAGTGGTTGTCAAGGGAAGGGCATAGGAGAATGGGGTATAACTGACGACGGAGATGGAGTTCCTCTTCGGGTGACGTAAATGTTATAAAATTGACTGTGGTGGTAGTTGCACAACTCTGTGAATGAACTTTTTAAAAACCACTGAATTGTATACTTCAAATGGATGAATTATTTGGTTTGTGAATTATGTCTCAATAAAACTGTTTTAAGTCCTAAGTTAATTTTACTCTTTTAAATCAGTCATTCAATTTATTTCTGTGTAGAAAAGAGTTAATACAGCAGGCTTGACAGCTATCCTTTGAAAGGCCTGCTTCTTTTCCACATGGAAGTCTGGAATTTTAGTACGTGACCAGCCCCCAATAAAAATCCTAGCTCATTTCCAACAATCTTCCCAGGTAAGCAACATTTCACACATGCTGTCCTAACCTATAGCTGGGGAATTAAGCGCGCCCTGGGTGACTCCACTGGGCGAGGACTCTTAGAAGCTCGGGCCTGGTTCCCTTGGCCTTCAACTCATGTGCTCTTTCTCTTTGCTGATTTTGCTTTATCCTTCCATTGTAATAAATCATAGTCATCAGTACGACTATACGCTGAGTTCTATGCATCCTCTCAGCAAATCATCAAACCTGGGAGTGGTTTTAGAGGCCCCTGACACAATCTCACAATTATACAGTCATCAAATTATTTATATACAAGAAATGCTCCAATGGAAAAATAAATAATATTTATTTGGTATACAAGTGTTTATAAAGTATTTGCAAGTATGAAATAAATACTTGTCTATCTCCTTAAATTCCTGAAAGAAATGTACCTGTTTTTTTTTAAAGGCTGGCACCTGAGCTAACATCTGTTGCCAATATTCTTTTTCTTCTTCGTCTTCTTCTCCCTAAAGCCCCCCAGTACATAGCTGTATATTCTAGTTGTGAGTGCCTCTGGTTGTGCCATGTGGGACACTGCCTCAGCATGGCCTGATGAGTGGTGCTAGGTCCACATCCAGGATCCAAACCGACAAAACCCCGGGCTGCAGACGCAGACCACGCAAACCAAACCACTCAGCCACGGGGCCCGCCTCCCTCCTCAAGTATTTTAAAGAAAGAGCATAATACAGAAATAAATATTTCATCTCAAGTAAGTGAGAATAAAGTATCCTACACTGATAAGAACCACAGATTTTGCATCTACCATTTACTGAGTGCCTGCTATGTGCCAACACTCAGCTGAGTGCTTTATGTCGGCTACTTAATTTTCACAAAAACCTTTCAGGTACACATGTATATTCCCATTTTATAGATGAGATATAGAAGCTCAAAGAATCTACCTAAGTTGCTCAAAGGCAGAGAGGTAGTAGAAGACAGAGACGGGATTCCTTTAAATGACGCTAAGGCCATTATATTTCCACTATGACTCCAAGACAGCACAACACAAGAGGCTAACGAAGTAAAAAATTACTTGAATTTCTCACTTAAATAACAGAAGTAATACGCAAACAGAGAAATTAAACAGTTTTTAAAATTAATAACAAAAAGATTTAGTAACTTCACTAAAATGCATTCAATGCAGCTATGGTAAAAAATTTACTTTAAAATATATTACTATTAAGTATTTAACTGAGATAATCATAATGAAAAATTATATCAGTCAGTTAAGTGCAGTAAAAATAGAGAAAAATACTAACAAAAGGATTAATGACAAAGAAAATTCATAGCTTGAATTAACTTACCATTCTTCTTTTACACTTTCAAGGTTATCTACTTCTTTCATTCTTTTTTGCCTTACTGTAAAAGTAAAAAGAAACAAAAGTTAAAGTTCTCAATTAAGTATTTTAAATAAATTCATTCCTATATATGCATTGATAGTCTCTAATGTAAGTTATTATGCAGCCCCAAAGTAGCACTAAAAGGGTCTTAAGAACAAGTGACCAAACTCAAAGCTGTCACTTGCATCTATGAAGTAAAGCAATAATAAAAACTAAATTTTGTAGTCTGAGAATCTTCTGACAAAAGAAAGACTTCTTAAAAATTAAGATAAAAAAATTATACCCCCTGGTTTAACAGCAGCCAAAAGTAAATAAAACATTTCACTTAAGCTCCGACAGGTAACAAAATATCAAATCAATACAAACTCATCCTTACAATTCCTTGGGAAAGCAAACTGACATGACACATTTACATGTCATAGAAATATTCATGTGTTTTGACCCTGATTTCCCACATTTCTGGGAATTTAAAAGAACAAAAAAATTAGTTATATACACAAAATTTGTCCACCACAGCTGTTACTTGTTAGGAAAAACTGACAGCAAAGTAAATGCCCAACTGTCATGGTATAGCTGCTTGATGGGATAATACGTATCCCTTAAAAATAATCAGGAAGCGGGGAATGGTAGGGTGAAAGGGGTAAAGGGGCACATATGTATGGCGATAGATAAAAACTAGACTACTGGTGATGAGCACAAAGCAGTCTATACAGAAACTGAACTATAATAATGTACACTTGAAACTTACAGAAAGTTTTAAGCCAGTATGACCTCAATTGAAAAGTAATAATAATAATGAAGCAATTTATGTAGCCAAATGGAAAAAGATATCACATAAGTGAAAAAAAAAAAAGGAAACAAAAATCATTTATATATTAGGAATGCAATTGAATGCATATGAAAAAATGGAAGGAGAATCAAAAGTGAAAATAGTTATTCCTGGGGGTAATAAAATGATGGATTATTTTCTCTCTTTCCCAAACTTTCTAAAATACTGTTCTGCCGTTGTAACAAAAATATTTTAAGAAATAAGCAAACAAATCAAATAAATAGTTTAAAACAGTCCAAGCTCTCTGTCTACTGAGAGGTCCTACAAGCAATGACATACTAGAAACAATAAGCAAACCAAGAGCCCAGATCTTGGTTTCTAAACGCCATTTTCCAAAAAAAATGGAATCATCCGCCTTAGAGGAAAGGCTGATTGCAGGGCTGGGGTAGAGAAAGAACAAATCAGCCTGGAGCACCTTGTTGCTCCAGAAAGTAAGAAGGTGCTCAAAGAATGATGAAGACGTATCAAAAGGACACTGAAGTCATACCGAAGGGGTGGATGCTGGGCAAATCTGGGAAATGGAACACCAAAAGAACAACGATACTAATGGAATATAACTCATTAAATAAAACAAAAAACCCACGAGTCCATACTATTTGATAAAAAAAATCAGGAAAAGATGGACTTTTAAATAAACTTAACTTTTAAATAAACTTAACAGTGGAGCTACCGTAACCAAGATAAATTCCAATATATCCAAGATTTAAAGTTTAAAAATTAAACTTGAAGGTGACGTCAGTGAAATGACAGAATAGGTATCTCCAAGCTCCTGTCCCCACAGAAATATTGAAAAACAAGCAGAAACTGTTAGAACCAATTTAGTCAGAACTCTGGAAAGTAGTTAAAAGGTTTACAGCAACAAGCAATACTGAATAAGAAAAATGCATCTTAAAAACAGCAGGCAAAATAAACCAACCAATTCCATTTCTCATTTATCAGATTGGCAAAAATTCACAAGTCTTGCAACACATTTTGCTGCTGAGAGTATGGGGAAATAGCCTCATACATTTTTGAAGGGAATGCAAAATGGCATAATTCCTAGGCAGGGGAATTTGGCAACACCGAGCCAAAACTACATACGCATGTGACAAAGACTCTCTCCTTGACCAAACTTTAGTCAGGCTTCTCTATCTTCTCAAAGAGGCCTGACACTGGGCTTCCATCCCCGTCCTTGTAGAGCCCAATCTTAGCAAAAATCCTGTTAAGTTTAGCCAGAATTCCCCACGACCCCCAGGTGACATCTGATCCCCTTGGCCTGCCTTCAGAGAGAATCCTGTTAGGTTAGTTTATCAAGAATCCCCCCTTACCCTTTAAGCTTCCTCTTTGTCATTTTCCACCCACTGACCCCCACCTTGCTCTCTGGCTATCAACCCCCACTTGTCCATGTTACATCCAGAATTGAGCCCAGGTCCACACTGAGGTCTCCTTCCCCATACAGCAATAGTTCCAGAGCAGAAGCTGTTTTTACCACTTTAATTACTGTCCAGCCTTGTTTTTTCTTTGACACATGTACCCCGAAATCCCACATCTAAAAATTGATCCCAGGGGCCAGCCCAGTGGCACAGCAGTTAAGTTTGCACGTTCCACTTTGTGGCCTGGGGTTCGCCGGATCAGATCTCGGGTGCGGACATGGCACTGCTTGGCAAGCCATGCTGTGGTAGGCGTCCCACGTATAAAGTGGAGGAAGATGGGCATGGACGTTAGCTCAGGGCCAGTCTTCCTCAGCAAAAAGAGGACTGGCAGCAGATGTTAGCTCAGGGCCTTCCTCAAGTCATCTTCTTCTTCAAAAAAATCTATCCCAGGGAGATGGCGCCTCCGGCGGGCGGCGCGGCGGACCCGGACCCGGGCTCGGCCGTGGTGCTCCTTGCCGTACACGCCGCGGTGAGGCCGCTGGGCGCGGGGCCGGACACCGAGGCGCAGCTGCGGAGGCTGCAGCTGAGCGCGGACCCCGAGCGGCCCGGGCGCTTCCGGCTGGAGCTGCTGGGCGCGGGGCCCGGGGCGGTCAATTTGGAGTGGCCCTTGGAGTCAGTCTCCTACACCGTCCGAGGCCCCAGCCAGCATGAGCTGCAGCCTCCACCTGGAGGGCCTGGGACCCTCAGCCTGCACTTCCCCAATCCTCAGGAAGCTCAGCGGTGGGCAGCCCTGGTCCGAGGTGCCACCGTGGAGGGACAGAATGGCAGTGACAGCCTGCCCCCAGCCCTGGGCCCAGAAACGTGCCCTGTTTCTCTACCCAGTCCCCCTCCACCCAGTCCCCCTGAAGTGCCCACAGCCAAGGTCCCCCAACCCAAGGTGGATCTGCCCTGGAGCCCTGGAGACTTGATGGAGAAAGAAGAGCTGGTGGGGCGCCTGGCCCGGGCCATCGAAGGTGGGGATAAGAAGGGGGCGGCTCAGACAGCAGCCATCCTGGCCCAGCATCATGTGGCCCTTAGGGTCCAACTCCAGGAGGCCTGCTTCCCTCCTGGCCCCATCAGGCTACAGGTCACAGTTGAAGACGCTGCATCCTCTGCTCACGTCTCGCTGCAGGTACACCCCCACTGCACCATCGCGGCCCTCCAGGAGCAGGTGTTCTCGGAGTTTGGCTTCCCGCCCGCTGTGCAGCGCTGGGTCATTGGGCGGTGTATGTGTGTGCCCGAGTGCAGCCTTGCTTCCTATGGCATCCAGCGGGACGGGGACCCTGCTTTCCTTTACCTGCTCTCAGCCCCTCGAGAAGCCCCAGGTCGCAGCACTCAGCGCCCCCAGAAGGTGGATGGGGAACTAGGCCGCTTGTTTCCTCAGTCACTGGGGCTGCCTCGAGCCCCTCAGCCAGCCAGCTCCAGCCTCCCCAGCCCCCTTCAGCCTGGCTGGTCCTGCCCTTCCTGCACCTTCATCAATGCCCCAAGCAGACCTGGCTGTGAGATGTGTAGCACCCAGAGGCCTTGCACTTGGGACCCCCTTCCCTCAGCCTCCACCCAGCAGCCACCAAAGGTCACAAAGAGAGAGGATGGCCCGTTCCTTCCAAGCCCAAGGTCCCTGGACCCCCTCCTGAACCTCTCAGGGGACCTCTGCTGACTGCTCTCTGGGGACAGAGCCAGGGTTGGGGGAGGGGCCACCAGAGTCATTAAAGACACTTCTGAGCCAGCCAAAAAAAAAAAAAAAAAAAAAAAAAAAAAAATCTATCCCAATGATACTTTAATAAAAATATAAAAAGGTGAACACATAAGATTATTCACTGCAGTACTATTTACAGCATTCATGGTAATAGCAAAAGCCTGCAGAAAAACCCAAATGTCCATCACTAAGGAACTTGTTGAATAAACTATGGTAAATCCACACAGTGGGGATGCAGCAGTAAAAACAATTGTAATGGCTGCAGAGTGATCAATAGGATATACTGTTTAGTGAAAAAAGCAAGATGGAGAAAAATATGTATAATACACACTGTTTAACAAAGAGGTGGGGGCTGGCTCTGTGGCCGAGTGGTTAAGTCCGCGCGCTCTACTTCGGCGGCCCAGGGTTTTGCGGTTTGAATCCTGGGCACCGACATGGCACCACTCCTCAGGCCGCGTTGAGGCAGCATCCCACGTGCCACAACTAGAAGGACCCACAATTAAGAATATACAACTATGTACTGGGGGGGATTTGGGGAGAAAAAGCAGGAAAAAAAAAAAAAAAGACTGGCAACAGTTGTTAGCTCAGGTGGCAATCTTTAAAAAAAAAAAGAAAAGAAAGAGGTGGACACAAAAAAAAATATATATTTGTTTTTATTAGGAAAATAAGCACCCCCCAAACACCTCCTGCCAAATACGGTTTCCTATATGCTGGGAGAGAGAGGACAAGGTGGAGGGGGCAAGGATAGGAGTAGGATTTCTCCAAATATATCTTGTTTTTTAGATCAACTTTGGAACGATGTAAATATTTTACACACTTATAAAAAGAAATCCCTAAAATCTGAAAGTAAAAATGAAACAAATTAACTGAATTGACTATCAAGTTGGAGGCAAAACCACACAGAGAGGAATTATTTCAAGTAACTTTAAAACATAGTAATTTTAGTGTATATCCAGTGGGATGAACCCTAAGGGGAAAAATACAGCTTCTAGTAATCATATTCCTAGCAATAATATATTAATGTTGTTTTTATGAAACTATGGTATAAAGATAAAGCAGTGAATCTTAACCAGGAGGCAACCGTACCCCTCAGAGGATATTTGGCAATGCCTGGAGGCATTTCTGGTTGTCACAACTAGGGGGTGCGTGCTCCTGGTATCTAGTAGCAGAGGACAGGGATGCTGCTGAACATCCTACAATGCACAGGACAGCCCCCACAAGAAAGAATTATTTTGCCCAAAATGTCAATAGTGCTGAAGTTGAGAAACCCTAAGACAAAGCAAAGAAGTAATCATGATCTCTTGCTAAAAAACCACTATTTTTTCAGGGTAAGAGTCAAGAGATAGAAATATAAAAATCAAAGAAGTCAAGCAAAAATTCTACAATCCTAAATTTTAAATATTAGTATGAACACATGCTGAGTTTCCTTTTAAGAAAATACATACTAGTTCTGTCCAGTGAAAAAGCCAAAAAGCAGCAAGCAATCCAATAAAAATGAACACACCCAGTGCCCAGATCTGTGGTCTCCAAATACCACTTCCCACCAACAGGAATCAGTTTCTTGGAGAAATGGCTACCCCCAGGTCTGGGGCAGGAAACGTCTATTTTGTGCCTTGGATCGACATCTTGGATTAGTGTCAAAAGGATTCAGAAGTCAATTTGAAGAGGCTACTACTGGCCAAAGAAGGGACTGAAACACATCAAATACAAGTTCATACTGATACTCATTAAAACAAACAAACTCACTGGTCATCTTTCTAGAATACCAGCGTACCAACTCATTATTTTAAAAATCAGCAAAATAAGGGAAAGAATCATTACTCATCCTGCCATTCCTGCATGAACTATCTCCGAGTAACCAAAGAGTCAATGAACTAAGTTTCCTTTATGACCGAATTCAGCTAAATGAAGGAGGATGACAGAATTAGAGTATCCGCAATTTGACCCCTATGGCAAACAGATCTAGGCAATGACATCAATGGTTGCTAACAGGAGAAAAAGAACCCAGACGTAAACAAACACCTTCGTGTGAAAGTTCACACCACCATCTATGAAGAATTCTCTCCAAAAATGTGAATCTGAATCCATCAGAAGCCTCCAGATCTAACCTTCAGATTACAGGAAACACAGGGAACAGAGGAACATGATCAGGTGACATAATAGGGATACAGTAACAAAATTCAGAACGTGGGAAATTCTTTAGGAGAAATGATCCATTTTTCTTCAACATATATATTACCAGAGAGAAAAAGAAGTGGAAATACATTTAAAAAAAATATTTAAGAGATATAGCAACTAATTAAAATATATGAACTGTATTTAGATTTTTATTTAAAGAAACTAACTGGAAAAAAGCTATGACAGAATCAGGAACACCTGAACATTGACAATATCTGATGATACATATGTGGAGCAACTGTTAATTTTAAAGGTGTGACAATGGTATTATAGCTATAATCCTTTTTAAGTACTTGTTTTAGATACTTACTGAAATACCTAGAGGAAACACCATACCTGGAATTTGCTTCAAAATACTCAAGTGGAGTAGTGAGTAGGAGGACTATAATTGAAAACAAAATGGCTATGACTTGATAATTATTGAAGCTGGGTAATGAGTATAGATGGGAGTTCATTATTGTTCACATTTTTGTATATGCTTCAAATTTTTCATAATAAAAATTGGGATAAAAACTATCTCATAAAATATATACATGTAGAGTTCTATAATGCCATTTCATTAGTTTCTTAAAAGGCAGTACTTCTGCTATCTCTGCGAGAAAATTACTCAATAATCCAAGAATGGCAGTAATTCCAAAGATTTGCATCCTCAGTGAAAAATTATGTGCCTCTTACTCCCCAAATTACAAATCTGAAGTGGCGAAAAGTACTATAAATTCACATTCAAAGTGATGAACATGAGAAGAAGATTTATCATGTACAGGACAAAGATAAATTTGTAAAAAAGACAACTAAAAGGGCTTCGTAAGACACTTGGTTGACCCACAGCTTGAAGGCAACGTGGGCAGAGAAATTTTAGTAGCGCATACACGGATGTACTATGTGAAGTCAAACACAGACAAGAGTTATGCACTGCCTATTGTACAACTAAAGTTATCAACTGTCAAAATTCAAGTTAGGTAAAATCACATCTGTTCTATCTAATCTGGAATGTCTGGCTACGTAACTAAGAGGAACACCACCAAACTTACGGAGAGAAAGAAAAAAAAAATCAATGGCTTTTTAGTGTTTTAAAATTAAACAAGCTTTAAGAAATACTAGAGGGCAATGCTTTAATAAACCTAAATAAATTAGTTTTAATTCATGACTAGACTTTTAAAAGTCACCCCCAAACCAAATTACAACATTTTATATGTGCTTAAAACAATATAGTTTTACCCAAAAGAAGACTTAACCAAGCTGGACATTTTCACAAAGCATTAATAATATTTCAACTCTCAGACTATATCAGATAAGAATATGTTTCTTAAATTTTCTCTGGAGAGTATATATACAAAAAGCAAATATTTCTATTTAAAAACGTAAGTTTTAAGCATAGCATTAAATAGAAGGCAGACCTGCTCAGTAATAACCACTGAAGACCCACCAGACTCATCCCAAAGCAATGAGAACCAGAAAATGGACACGAGAAGTAGTCTACTGCTCCCACTTAATAGTCTCCAAAGTATCTGGAGGTGAATTTAATCCGAGCGATTGGGGATCCAACAGAAAAAATCAAATGGTCTGAATGCTCTTAGGTCCTGACTTCCATTCCAGTTTCCTGCTGCTAATGGAGCTCAGCCCATAGCCACAGCCAGTTTGCCTGGACCACTAATTCCCACTTAGCCTCTGTTTTGCTAGGAATTATAAGTAGGATAGTGAAATCTGCTCTGTAAAATATTCTGTCTTGAAAATTGTTTTAAATACCCCTATTGTTTTCATTATGAATTGAATACACACTGACAGTGAATTTATTTCTTAGCTTTTTCATGAGAAAATTGTGAGCAATTCTGAAACACAAGGGGAAACTGAAAGGAAGGAAAAAGGAGGAAACGCAATGAGGCAGAGGAGTACTGAACATAAGCAGGGGATAGCACCTTCAACGGCATCTCCAACAATAACTTCAGACTCTACCTTTCAGCTGGAGGGTAAGGGAGGATCACTAAGCCACACCATCCAAGAGGATGGCATCCAACAATCAAGGCAAATTGGATGTCTCTATTGTCTCAAGTAGGTATTTTGTATTTCCAAAGATTTCTTATTCCGTCCTCTACTACTCTTCAAAATTATTCCCTAGACTTAAAAATGAAATATAAGGCACTGGACTAGGCATTAGATTTACAAAGTAATAAATCATATAAGTGGAAAGATATTCTTTTATAATATCAAAATTTATAATATCTTAAATGGATTACATGATTAAACTATATCCTTTAAAAATGCAGCTACTAAATACGATCACTAGGGGCCGGCCCGGTGGCGCAGTGGTTAAGTGCCCAGGGTTTGCCAATTCAGATCCTGAGTGCAGACATGGCACCACTTGGCAAGCCATGCTGTGGTAGGTGTCCCACATATAAAGTATCCACATATAAAGTAGAGGAAGATGAACACGGATGTTAGCTCAGGGCCAGTCTTCCTCAGCAAAAGGAGGACGATTGGCAGTAGATGTTAGCTCAGGGCTAATCTTCCTCACCAAAAAAAAAAAAAAAAAAAGATTGTTAAATATAAGACACAACATTGTCAATGTTCTTTTGAGTTTGCAAGTGCTTATTATATTTATTAGATAAATATAATCACCCTACTTCTGGACCAAGGATGAACCTAAGGTCCAAAGGGGGAAAAATAGTGTATATTTTCACTTATTGTAGCGAAAAAACTGAGGTAAAACCTTTAAAAGGATGTGAGAAGGTAAAGGGGTAAGCATAAGAAGCTAAAACCCTTCTCAATCTGCTAGCAATACAAAAGGCAATGCTCAAAATTAGTAACTCAAAATATATACATTGTTTAGAAATATGGCTGTAAATAACAGAAGAAACAGTTGGAGTTCAAAGAAGTTGTACCTGGGGAGGGAGTAGGAGCATTTTTAGTCTTATGTCTTCTAACACTATCTGCCTTTTAAACTACGTGTACACATTATTTTGATTAAAAAATTTAAGAACCAGATAACAAATTAAAAATATATTCAGAACCAGAATCTCATATTCACTAGTGTTTTCTCCTAAGACTTTGTCCTTCAAATCTTGTATTTCTAAAAGTATTTAATTGCTTCCCTTTAAAAATCACTTCCCTCTCAAACATATACAAAAGAACAGAGAAAAATATAAACACCCATCCCAACCATTCAGATTTCAGAAAAGTTTACATTTTGACTTACTTGCTTCTTTTTTATTTATTTAAGAAATAAAGCATTATAGATATAACCGAATACTATTTCCTTTAAAAATATTTATTGGGGCTGGCCCCATGGCCAACTGGTTAAGTTTGTATGCTCCGTTTTAGCAGCCCAGGGTTCCCCAGTTCGGATCCTGGGTGCAGACCTAGCACCACTCATCAAGTCATGCTAAGGCGATGTCCACACAGAAGAACTAGGAGGACCTCCAATTAGGATATACGACTATGTACTGGGGGGCTTTGGGGAGAAAAAAATATAAAAATAAAAAATACTCATTAAGTGGTAGGTCTTAAATATGTGCATCTTATTGCATATTAATTATACCTAAAGTTGTTAAAAATATTAAAAATTTATATTTGTTCAGCATCTACTACATACCAGGTATGATTCTAGGTGCTTGGGAATCATACCTGGTCAACAAAATAGACAAGGATCCCAGCTCTGTGCACACTACATTCTGGGAGTGTTGTATGCTTTTCACTTGACAGTTTCTACTGCTCTAAAATAATCTTTTAGTTTGGATATGATCCTTATTGTCTCCTAAACATATCATGTTCATTCCACTTCTTTGTTCACAATGCAACCATCCTTCTAGGCATTCAAATCCTAATAATCCTTCAAGTCCCAGTTCAAGATCCACTTCCACCATAAAGATGAAATAGTAAACCCTTATTAGTATTCTTCCCCTAAAGCATTTAGATTTTTGGCATTTAAATCATATGTCTGATATTGTTTATTACTGTTTCTTTTGTGTCTTTTAGCTCTCTCTACTGGATCCAAGATCCCTGAGGACAGGTACCATGACTTACACATTTCCTGTTTCTTTCACAGTGTCAAGCAAGTGCAAAGCAAAGAGTAGCCATCCTTAAAGTATCTCACTATGTTTCCATTTAATAGGTTATGGTCTATAGTAAATTACTAATATTATTCATCATTTCATTGTTATAAGTTACTGATAAACTGTTTTTACTTGTTTTATGACAGCAAAAGAGAATGGAGAACAGATCTTGGATTCAAAGAGATTTATGCTGGAATACTGGCTATACCATTTTCGAGCTAGGTGACATACATGTTATTTAACTTCTCTAAGTCCCAGTTATCTAAACTGTAACATGGAGATAGGGATCCTCCTCACAAGGTGTTCTGAAGACTAAAGGAGGCAGTGAGAATACAAGAATGTTATGCTCCTTTCTCTTTTACCATCCCTCCACCAGAACCTCTGTTACAAGGACTGCTAAGAAACATCTTCAGATGTAGTCTTAAAGTTTTAATTTTCACATGGCTATGAAATTTTACTTCTGATTTCACTAATTAAAGTTTTAAAGCTTAGGGGCCGGCCCAGTGGCACAGCAGTTAGGTGTGCATGTTCCGATTTGGCGGCCCAGGGTTCGCCGGTTTGGATCCCAGGTGCCGGCATGGCACCGCTTGGCGAGCCATGCTGTGGTAGGCATCCCACACGTAAGGTGGAGGAAGATGGGCAAGGATGTTGGCTCGGGGCCAGTCTTCCTCAGAAAAAAGAGGAGGATTGGCAGCAGTTAGCTCAGAGCTAATCTTCCTCAAAAAAGAAAAAAAATTAAAAAAAAAAACTTTTAAAACTTAAAACTTACTGCACCTCCCACCACTGTGTGCAAGGCAATGATTTAGAACTAATGATAGAGGAGTCAGTTGGACAGTCTCTATTATCAGGAGTTTATAGACGAACAAGGAAAAAATATACTGAATTACTAATTGCAAACATAGCACAGACTTATGAAGTAAAAATTGATTCTAACATGGACACAGAGTCACCATTATTTTAGGTATTTCCTATCATAAATTAGTAATATGTAAATGAACCATGTAAAATCTGTATCAATTTTGTGAGCTTCTAAAACCATTAGTCATGTGACACGAATGACTGTTAAGTCACATACTTTTTTATTAAGCCATGTGACAAATAGCTAAATTACCAGCACGAAGCTGGGCATCAGAATGGACAGATGAACAGAATTTTCTTCATTTTTCTTCAGTTTACTTCCAATTAGTACAACTACCATCTTACATTTCTATTGAATATCACAGTTTACCAAACACCTTCCCAATTATTACCCCACCTACTCCCAAGTGCAGTGATAAAATCAGTCAGGAGACGGATTAGACTGAGCTTTTGGGAACATATCCACTACAAGGAAAATCCAGTCAAAACAGAAATGCAAGAAATGTAGTCTTTTTAATGTATATATTAGAATTTGAACAGAAGAAATTTGCATATTACCAATTATACTTATTTTAATAAACATACTACAGGCTACTTTTTTTTTTAAGATTATGGATTTATATCAAGACATTCTATCACTGGGCATACTATCTTTATGTAGAAGCTTAAGTTTCTCTTTAAGGATGAAGTCATTCCTGGCATTAAACAGAAGGGAAAGAAACCAATGACTCACATTTCCACTAGAAGTTTCTTTCACTTAGTACTTCTGTGGAATGGGATTAGGCCTCCAAGAGCAAACTATGATAGGATCAGAGTCAAACACTTTACAAGATAGAAAGTTTCAGCTTATCTTAGCTGTAATCACAGTTTAAAGAAAATACAGGGGTCAGCCCCATGGACATGGCCAAGCGGTTAAGTTCATGCGCTCCGCTTTGGCAGCCCAGGGTTTTGCCGGCTTGGATCCTGGGCGCGGACATGGCACAGCTCATCAGGCCATGCTGAGGCAGCATCCCACATAGCACAGCCAGAAGGACCTACAACTAGAATGTACAACTATGTACTGGGTGGCTTTGGGGAGGAGGAGAAAAAAAAAGAAAAGAAAATACACTTTTGTCTTCTAAAAAAATTGTTGGGGCTGGCCCGGTGGCATAGTGGTTAAGTTTGCACACTCTGCTCCTGTGGCACAGAGTTCACAGGTTCAAATCCCGGGTGCAGACCTAGCACTGCTTTTCAAGCCATGCTGTGGCAGCATCCCACATAAAATAAAAAAGAAAGATTGGCGAAGATGTTAGCTCTGGGCCAATCTTCCTCACACACACACACACACACAAACTGTTAATGGAGGAGTTCTATGTGCTCAAGGACCAAAGTGAGAGAGACAAAAGTAAATGAGACAATCCTAGAGGAAAGGTGAAACAGGAGGAGACTGTGAAGGTCAGCCATCCTTGAAGATTCGCCACATTCTCATTCCAGGGCTCCATACTGAAATGTTATCTACCTTGCAAAACCCATCTCAAATACGATCTCCTTTAGAAACTCTTACAGGATTGCTCCAAAAGATGTGAATACAGAATTACTAACACAGTAAGAAGAGATTAGTTATGCATCTTTAGAGCCTGCCACAACTCTAGTGCCAACTAGGATCTCTAGGCGGTTTCCTCACATCCTGTCCAGTTTCTACACAGGAGTCAGAGTGATCTTTTTTTATTTTTTTATTGCAGTAACATTGAATTATAACATTGTATAACTTTCAGGTGTACATCGTGATACATTTTGAATTCTGTGTAGATTACATTATGTTCACCACCCAAAGACTAATCACAGTCCATCAGCACAGCGTGCCTAATCACCCCTTCCATCCTCCCCTCCCCCCTGGTAACCACCACTCCAACCTCTGTTGCTATGTGTTTGTTTGTTGTCGTTTTTATCTTCTACTCATGAGTGAGATCATATGGTATTTGACTTTCTCCCTCTGACTTATTTCACTTAGCATAATAGGGTGATCCTTTTGATCAAGATACAAATTTGATTATGGGACTTCCCTGCTTAAAACCCTTCAACGACCTCCCATTGCTCTTCAAACAAGGTCTAAATCCTTTGGATATTGTAGAGGAGTGCACTGTACTGTTCTCACACAAATTTAAGGGGTTTCAAAATTTCTCTACAAAAGTTTAAAAAAAGAAAAAAAAAAAAAGCTGGTTCCAAATCCTTAACCTTGTTTAAAAGGCCCCGCATCATCTCTCTGGCCCTAACCAAGACCTTTAGCTTTCTATACTCAATCCAACTGCTTTGACCTTTCGGTTCCCAAAATCTTCCCTAGCCTCTGTGGAATCTACTTCCTTTGCCTGAACCTTTCTTCCCTCCTTTGGGAGCCACCTTCACCTAATTCTTACTTACCTCTTATCTCAGCTCCAAGGTTACTTTCCTAGGAAAACCTTAACTGATTCCCCCAGCTGAGATAAATCCTCCCGTCATAACAATCTCCTTTCTCCCTTTTTAGCTTCCATCTAGGTTTATTGGCAATTACTTGTGTGATTGTTTGATACGTTTCCCCCAACGCTAATGCAAAATCCTTAAAGGCAAAATCCATAATGGTCACCATTATATCATTAGCATACAGTAGGTACTAAGAAATTTGAATGATAAGTTATTAATATTAAATATTAAGTAATTAAAGGATGCACGTATTTACTATAGTGCAGGGTTAAGAGTCAGTGCTCAATAGGTGGTAGTTTCTGTTAATACTGTATTCTGCTTGGTATCATTGTTATTTGTGTGCTTAATTACTCCCTCCATCCTGCACACAATTCTTATTTTTGGTTTGCACCAGAGCCTAGCACTAACTTTAGTGTTAAACATAAGTGCTCAATATTCTGGAATTTAATTGCCTTTCAAATCAATGCGACTTTCAGCATATTTAGAAGACACATCAACTTTTAAAGAGTTTTTCCCGTTAAAACTAAAGCATAAAACTCGTACGCACTCTAAAAACACACCTGAGCCATGACTATGAATAAGGAAGCTCATTTTCACGTAGTTTATACAGTCTGTCACACTTCACAGTTCCACGATGACATCAGTACAGACTGTCAGCTTCCTATCTTTATTTTCAGTGATCTCAAATTACGTACGAAGGAATCAACGCTGGACGCCACACTAATGTGTATTATTGCTGACAAGTAACAAACGGCGAGTAAAAACACAGACACGGAGAAAAAAGAAATTAAATACGAAAACAGAGAACATCAAACCTACAGAACCAAAGTGAGCAGTGGGAGACCGGTGACGAAATTAACTAGGAAATGTCCACCCAAACCAGACACGCTCTGTATTTCTGTGCTGCGCTTCTGCAGTGTCGCCTATGGAAATGGGGACGTCTGGAGAGCACGTTAACTCGAAGTTTCCGAGCGCCTCCGAACGAGAAAACCCACCTCTGGGCTTCCACGGCGGCCCCCACGCAGGAAGCGAGCGCAGGCGGCGGGCCGAGCGCTCACGCGGGCAGGGGTCTCGGCCCGGCCGCGCCCTTTCAGGTCGCAGACGCGGGGTCCGACAGCCTCCGGACCCCAGGCTCACCGGGACAAAGACGAGCGCGGCGGCTCGGCCGGCCCCCGCCCAGGCCCGGCGGCGGCGCGGCCCCAGCAAACTCACCTCCGGGCGCGGCCGCGGGAGGGGGCCGCGCCGCGCTGTCGCCTCGCGGCCTCGTCCTCAATTCGCTCAGGGGCCGCGGGCGCCGGCGCCGCCGCTGACCTGAAGCCCCTCCGCCCGAGAGCACCGCCGACCCCAGACCCTCTCAAGCTCGGCGGCCGCGCCACTGGAACCCGGCTCGCCTCTGCGGGTCACCGCGGCCGGGCGGCGAGCGCGCGCCCACGCCGCCTCTGCGCAGCCCCGGGAGCGCGCGGGGGCGGGGCCGGCCGCCTCGGGCCTCGGCGTCCCCGCGCAAATGGCTGCCGTCTGCCGCCCCGGGCCCGCGTCGCGGCTTGTCGCCTCTGCAAGCCGCGCGGAAAAAGCGGGCGCTCCAGTGGGCTCGCCTGGGAGCCCCGCGTCCACTCACCCCTTCAGCTCTGATGGAGTCCGTGGAGAGCTTTCCCTGCATTCCGACAAGGTTGCCCCTTGCCTGAGCCTGTGACTCTGCAAAGCGACGGTTAAAGAAATGCCCCCACACCT